CAAGCGATCATGGATTACAAGAAAAGAAAACAAACATTTCAATCATGGATTACAAAAAATTCTATTATGGGTTACAAAAAAACCAAAAAAATCGATCATGGATTACAAAAAAACAAAAACAATTCGATCATGGATTACAAAAAAATCGATCAAGTATTACAAAAAAATCTATCATGGACTACAAAAAACAAAAACAAAAACAAAAACAAAAACAAAAAAAAAAAAAAAAAAATCCGTACGGACTCGCCGATTCACTGTTCGGACTCGTCGATTCCGTACAGTGAATCGGCGAGTCACTGTGCGAAATCGTCCGGTTCTCTCTAGAACAGGACGATTTCCGATTTTTCAACCGATCCGGTCCCTTTTCGCGAATTTCGAGTCGAACCGGGCGAGTCTGGTTCGACTTGGCGTTTTTTAAAACGCTGGTTTAGAGAAATGTGGTTTCTAATAGTGAAAATCACTATGATAGTTTTAAAATATATTTTCATCTTTTTAACTATAAAATTTAAAGCTTAAAAAAGGTTTTCTTACGCTACACTTTGTTTGACACTTACATAAGAACTATAATACAAAATTTTTCGAGTTAAGGGTATTTTAGGTGCTTAGAGATAGAATGGATATTTTTATAAAAAAAATAGTGACAAAATTACAGTCTTAAACAATCCAAATAACGTATAACTCCAAATTTTATCATAACATGTAATTTTGATATAAAAAATTATTAGGATTACCTTAAAATCAATTTTTGTCTCTAATTATATAATTTTAAACTACAAACAAGTTAAAATCAAGTAGATCTATAAATATATGACAATCTTGAAAATTAATGGTCTAGATAATGCGTTGCATGATGCATTATTTTAGGACTCAAAAAAAAATTTATATATTCATAAATCTCGATGTTGAGATGATTAATTAGAGAGTTTTCCAACATTAAAAACAACCTTTCAAATGGATTTTTGAGGTGCATATGTAATTCTATATTTTAATATTGTAATCTTATATAAATTTTTTCTTTTATTAAATACTTTAAAAACAATTAATACATCATAGGGGTGATGTCTGCCATGATGTTATTTTCCACTATTGTTAATAAACGTTTTTATTTTTATTAAAATTTTCTATTTTACCCTTGACTACTTTCTTAAATTACCCCTAGACAAAAAATTACTACACTATAGATAAGGGTATCTAAATGTCAAAAAATGTTGAGCATTTCAATGGTATACATCTCAATGGTGTACAGTAACAAAACCCAGGGATATCAAAATTAGGGTTTTGTTACGTACTCTTAAAGTCCTCAACATTTTTTTGACACTTGAATTGTAATACAACAATAGTGTAGATCGAGCAGATATATGAAAATTTTGAAAATTGACGGTCCAAAATGCGTCACATGATGCACTATTTCCAAAACTTGAAAACTATTTCTTTTTTCTCATGTCCATGCATCTTGATGTTGAGATGATCAATTGGCAAATATTTAAGCATCAAAACAACCTCTTCTAGTGAAGAGGTAGGATCTAATTTGATTGTTTAGAGCCTCAGCTCTATGTAAACTTTTTCCTTTTGGAATCAAGGACAAATTATAGTGTTAAAAACTATTTAAAAGGTGAGGTTTGTATAGGGTGTCAATTTTATACTATTGAAGTAAGGTGTATTTCAAAACTATGATGAAAGAGCAATTTCGGTCTCCTGAAGCCTTAGGATGATATGAAATATATTGTTGCCCCCACTTACTCAATTGAAGAAAAAAATAAAAATAAAAATAAAAATCCATTGTTTTCTCCAATTATGAAATTTAAAATTATTTAAAAAATAGTTATGATCAAGTAGATCTGTATACATTTGAAAATATTGAAAATGGATGGTCCAGATAATATGTCAGAAGATGAACTATTTTTAAGACTAAAAACCACTTTCTTTTCATATCTATGAATTTCGAGGTCGAGATGATCGATTAAAAAGTTTTCCGAAACAACTTTCTCTAGTGGATTTTTAGGTACACCTTACCCGTACAACATAAAGTCGACACTTTATATAAATTTTTGTTCATATTAAAAAATACTTATAATCCTAAATAAGCAATGTTTTGTTAATTCTTTCTTACTTTAGTGGCATGAGCTGGTTCGCATGGGATCCTACACTCAAAACATGGTTTTTTTTCAATTAAATTACTCGTTTAGAGTTTGGAACCTAAAAAATTCTAATGGACGAAACAACCTTAGCTTGTTGCAGTTTCCAAACCTGGGACACGTGTTTTTCATAAAAATCTCATGTTTTGAGTTTGGAATCTAGAAATAATATATGACATTTTTAAATTTTGCATCACTTGGGCTAATTTACACAAAGACCCCTACTTATTGAGGATTCTAAATCCTAAATGCAGCTATTATATAAAAATTTATTAACAAAAGGATATGGTTTCTATGCGGCCAAGCCCGCATATGTAGAAATGAGGGCTTTTTAATAAATCTATTTTTGAGATGGATTTTAAGACTTAATTTTTAAAGATATATAATCTCTAACATAAAAATCATGAATATGAATAAATAAATAAATTTTAAAAACTAAAATAATAATTCTAATAAAAAAAACATTTAGACCGTAGTTTCATTGTAAATGAAACACCTACTTGCATCCATCGATGGATACTTCACACATTATGGACTGTGTAGAAAAGCGGTCCAGCCCGCATGAAACAACTTTCCTTAACAAAATGCCTAAGGTGAGAACCAACAATAGGAAAAAAACGTGGGGCTTTAGACCCAGGACAGAACCCCATCATTTTCCAGCTAGCTCAGGCAGTTCCGAGCCAGTTAACTAATTTTTAAAACATTGTTTCAAATTCATAATTGGAAAAATAAAAATGATATTGGATTTTTTTAACAAGTGTGGCACTATTCCATCCAATTCTAGCGCCGCCATGTCTAACCTAGTGCAAGAAAAACCGACCTGGAACGCCTAACTGGATATGGATCCGGAAGCAGATCAATCGGACTAATCGATAAATCGAACGGTTCAACTGTTCTAACCATACATCGCGGGCAGTCAAAAAAGTGTTAAAAAAAAAATATACAAATTTTTTAATAGAATATGAAAAATATATTTAAATCAAGGTGCGGTTTTTATAAGGTTGCAACCTTAAACAATCCAATTAAAGCGCACCTCCAAATTTTATCATAACATTAAATTTTGTTGTAAAAAATTATTAGGATTATCTTAAAACTTATTTTCATATCTAATTAGAAAATTTTAAATTCCAAAAATGGTTAAAATCAAGCAGATCTATAAGTATAGGAAAATCTTGAAAATAGAGGGTCTAGATAATATGTTGCAAGATGCAATATTTCTGATACTCAAAAACTTTTTATTTTTCATAGTCATACATCTTGTTGTTGAGATGATCAATTAGAGGGTTTTTTAACATTAAAATAACATTTCTAATAAATTGCATCTATGATTCGACATTTTAATGTTGCGACCTTATATAAATTTTTCTCTTTAAATAATGATTAAACAAAAACACATCCTAATAAAGTTGAAAATTAATGAAACAAATGGATTTTAAAGAATCCATTTGTGTCCGAAATTTTTCAAAAAAGATAGGAAAATGTAAAAATAAGTAATTAATAGCCAAAACAATTTCCCATTCCTATAATAATCATGAAAAACATTAAAAATGCATTACAGACAAAATCTCCTATTTTTTTAGATTTTATATTTTTTTTTCTTAAATTACCCGGCCGGTCACCAAGACCGACTGAAACCGGTGAGATCTAACTAGGTGGTTACTAATTAGACTGCCTTATTTTTAACTTCAATGGTTACCTTATGTTGTTCACACTTAAATCCATTTAAAAAAGTGTAAAGCATCCATCTTTAAGATGGAGCCCGCATGACTATATATGCAGTCCAAAAAGTGTAAAGCATCCATCTTTAAGATAGATTGATGTAGGAGTTCCATCTAAAAAACAATGGAAACTAACAGTCCAAATATTTTATTACTAGAATTATTATTTCTAATTTTAAAATTTTACTTATTTTTTCAAAATTCATGATCTCCATGTTAGAAATTACGTGTTCTTAAAAATTAAGTCCAAAAATCCATCTCAAATAGATTTATTAATAGACCCGCATTTCTAATATGCCGCGTAGAAACTGGATCCTTGCCATTAAATAAGCTATCGATGCCCCATGAATTAGATTTAGTCACTCTGCCACTGTTAATTAAATAATTACGAGGTTACATAAGGGAAGAGAGAGAAAGAGATTTGAAAGGCGACCACTTACGATTTATCATAATAATTAAGGAAGAACTTTCCGCGCACCCACATGAACAAAGAACAATCATAAATTCCTTGTCCTCAAATATTTGCCAAGTAGTAGGGTTTCAATTTTTAGTGAAATACCTCAAGCCATACTTAGGTTCTCACACGGTTTCTATAAATGTGGGCTCGGCAATAAATATAGTTTGATCTTAATTTTTTTTAAAAAAAAATCTTTAACATGAAAATCATAAATACAAAAATAAAATAAAAAATAAAAATAATAATTATATTAAAAACACATTTGAACCGTTAGTTACAATTATTGTTTTTAGATGGGCGACCTATTTGCATCGTTATGCCTTTGGACTGCATATTGTAGAAATGCATTTCTAGCCCCACGAAACAATTTCTCTAATTGAAAACATACACTACTATTCAAAAGACCCACCACAAATGAGAATGCAATTCGAAGAACTACAAGAAAGTCCATGAGATCCAACAAGAATTTTTTTTTTAAAAAAGGCTACCTATCACCTGCAATATAAGCATCTGGTTGGATTGCTTTTCCATGGTTACTGATAAAATCAGTGTTTTAAAAAACGCGAGTCGAACCGGACTCGGAAATAGTGAAAAGGGGACCGGATCGCCTAAAAAATCGAAAATCGTCCGGTTCTAGAGAGAACCGGATGATTCTGTACAGTGAATCGCCGATTTACTGTACGGAATCGGTGAGTCCGAACAATGAATCGGCGAGTCCCGTACGGTATTTTTTTTTTTTTTTTTTTGTGTTTGTGTGTGTAATCCATGATAGATTTTTTTGTAATACTTGATCGATTTTTTTGTAATCCATAATTGAATTGTTTTTGTTTTTTTGTAATCCATGATCGAAATGTTTGTTTTCTTTTCTTGTAATCCATGATTGATTTTTTTTGTTTTTTTTGTTTTTTTTTGTAACCCTATGTA